CACAATAATGAGATACTATGAATACTTTACACCTACTATGATGGCTATAATTTTTTTTAAGTGTTGTCAAGGATGTTGAGAAATAAAAACTCTTTTACCCTGCTAGTGGGAATGTAAATGGTCCAGTTGCTGTGAAAATCAATCTAGCAGTTCCTGACATGGTTAAACATCATGTTAGCATAATCTCCAATTCTACTCCTCAGGTCTACCTGACAGAAATGAAAACATTTCCACACTAAAACAGGCACATGAATCTTCACAGCAGCATTATTCACAGTAGCCAACAAATGGAAACATCCTAAACATCCGTCAGCTGATGAATGGGTAAGCAAGATGTCATATCTTTACCATATCTTAGAATATTATTCAGTCATAAAAAGAAAGTAATAATGATACACGTTACATGGATGAACTTTCAAAACATTATGGTAAGTTAAAGAAGCTAGTCATGAAGGATTTACATACTGCCTGACTCCATTTATATGAAATGTCCAGAACAGGAAAATCTGTCAAGAAAAAGCACATTAACGGTTGCCTAGGGCTGGAGGGCATGGGGGTTTGGAAGTGATAGCAAAGGGGAGCTGGATTTCTTTGGGAGACAAATACGATCTAAAATTGTGGTGATGCTTGAGCCCAGGGGTTTGAGACCAGACTTGTCAACATGGTGAAACCCTTTCTCTACTAAAAATACAAAAACTAGCCAGGTTGGTGGCGTGTGCCTGTAATCCCAGCTACTTGGGAGGCTGAGGCAGGAGAATCACTTGAACCCAGGAGGAGGAAGTTGCAGTGAGTCGAGATCATGCCACTGCACTACAGCCTGGGCGAAAGAGCAAGACTCTGTCTCAAAATAAAATAAAATTGTGAGGATGAATGTATTACTCTGTGAATATACAAAAATCCATTGAATTGTACACTTTAAATGGGTGAATTGTATGTGAATTGTGGCTCAATAAAGTGGTTTTAACATGTCTTATGCCTTAAGGGATTACTAGTTTAGTATATGACCTCCAGTAGTAGTTTAATGCAATTCCGAGGGAGATCTCTTGAGCTTGATTCACAGCGTTGTTTTACCCTTCTAGCGTCCACTCCCTGCCGTCTTTGCATAGGAGAACCACAGTCCTGTATTCAAAGGTAAAAGTGGATGAGTACCTCATGATTTGAGGGTGGGTGTGATGGAAAGAGTTGTCATTCACTTGGTCTGCCCTATCCTCTAAGTGTATGTTTGCTCCCCACACCTCTGTCATCCTTGGTCTGAAGTGAGTGCTATTCCACCTTAGGAACATACTGATGACCCCCAGCACTGTGAAAATCAGAACACTGAATGGCAGGATTCAAAAGGGCCATGACAAATATGAGGGAAATGGAAAAGGAGAATGAGATCCATCTATTGTGGATCAAACTTAACAGACAATGGCAGCAAGAAGTGGGGAGAGAAGAGAAACTTTCTCTGGAGTCTTGCCTATTCTGTGCTTCCAACAATATGCCCCTTCCCCATACCTTGCCCAATGCATCTCTTCATCTATATCCTTTGTAATATCCTTTATATTAAACCAGCGAACATAAGTGTTTCCTTGAGTTCTGTGAGCCACTTCAGCAAATTAATTGAACCCAAAAAGGGAGTTGTGAGAACCCCATCTTTTTTTTTCTTTTTTTTTTTTTAAGACAGGATCACGCTTTGTTGCGCAGGCTGGAGTGCAATGGCACAGATCACTGCTCACTGTAACCTTGAATTCCTGGACTCAAGTGATCCTTTCACCCCAGCCTCCCAAGTAGCTAGGACTACGCAGACTTGTACCTCCATGCCGAGCTAATTTTACTTTTTATTTTCTTGAGACAGGTCTCACGTTGCCCAGGCTGGTCTTGAACTCTTGGCCTCAAGTGATCCTCCAGCCATGAGCCACTGTAAATGTCTGGGAACGCCAACTTGAAACCCGGTTGGTCAGAAGTTCTAGAGGCCCGGACTTGCAACTGGTGTCTGAAGAGATGCCAGTCTTAGGGACTGAGCCCTCAGCCTGAGGGATCTGATGCTATTTCCAGCCAGATAGTGTCAGAATTAAATTGGAGGATACGCAGTTGGTGTCTGCTGCAGAACTGATTGCTTGCTTGCTTGCTGGTAGGGGAAATCGCCACATATCTGGGGGTCACTGAAGTCTTTGGTGTTGACTCTTACTGTGTTTGTTGTTTTCATGTGAGAGCGGAGCAGAAAAGCAAAGAAAT